AATCCTAACTTCAAACCACCAGCTAAAAATACCTTCAACAAAGTCCTCTCAGCTGTAGGAGTGTTACAGTAAATGTGTTTGGACACACACACACACACACACACACACACACTCACACACACACACACACTCACAGCTGTTGACGTGCCCCTGAGCCCGGAGTCTCGGGGCTGAAGGACTGACATCACTGACATTCTACAGATAATGAAAACAGACACAGATTCTCTAACAGTGATCCACTCCGTTCACACCAACGTTCCGTTCACACCAACGTTCCGTTCACACCAACGTTCCGTTCACACCAACGTTCCGTGTTCACACACCAACGTTCCGTTCACACCAACGTTCCGTTCACACCAACGTTCCGTTCACACCAACGTATGACAGACCTGGTCCACGACTTCATCTGTTTCAGCCTAAAGCTAAAGGTGATCAACCATCGCTAACAGTACCAAAGAACCAGGACACATTAGTACCAAAGAACCAGGACACAACAGGTGACTAGCAGTTAGCTAAGCGCCTAGCCTAGCCTAGCCTAGCCTAGCCTAGCCTAGCCAAAGAAGCTGTAGGTTCATCTAGAGCAGAGAGAGCGCCGCAGGTTAGCAGCTAAAACAACAACAACAGGTGAAACATCAAGTGAGTTCTGGTTCAGAAGGTTCAGGTCTGAGCAGGTCCTGGTCCAGGGTCTGAACCAGACCAGGTTCTGGTTTCTGTGGAACTTAAACCTGAAGAAGGTTTTAGTGACGACAGGAAACACGACCGTTAGACCACTTCCTCTTTCACTGCGTGTGTGCGTGTGTGTGTGCGTGTATGTCCAAACTTCCGTTCATACATCCTGTCACTTTTTTCTAGAACATCTAGAACATTCTAAAGAAAATGTTTTAAAATCTTCCTTTAAAATCATTTCTATTTAATTCACCAACAAACTGAAAACTGGTCATTAATTATGAACTCCCATGATCCTCTGCTGCCACTGATCAGGAAACAAACAAATCAACAAAACATTTAATCACAAAATATATGTTTTCAAACGTTGGAAACTATAAATTGATTTCTGAATTAAAATATAATCAACAAAAACCTTACGTGGAGATCATGTATGTTAAATATATACTTTTTAAAAATGAAATATATATGAAAATATAAACATGATGAAAAACTTTAAACTAAATTTTATTTTTAATCAGAGTTTTTTTAACTATTTTTACGTCTTTGTACTTGAATTGATTTGTGACTGAATGTTGTTAAACTAATGAAAAATAGAATATATTTTGTTTAATATTTGTATATAAATACACAATGTTTCAAAATAATTTGTTTATACATTTTAATTAATTTAATATATTTTTAGTAAAATTATATTTTAATTTTATTTCTATACAATATTCATATAAATGTTAGAGAAAAAGTTTGAATAAATAAAATATAAGTTTGATTCAAAAACACTGGAAGATTTAACTGTGTTTGTTATTGTTTGTTGTAAATAGTGTCAAAGGTCACGCGTTCTTATTGGTCCATAAATTTCCTTTTCATATTAATGTCTTTCTTTGTTTTACAGCTTTGGTGTCTTTGACCTTTGACCCCCGGGGGCACTGGAAAAATGAGTGTTGATCTGAGGTCAGGTGAGAAACAGACGACTAATAATGACGGTGACCTTTGACACCAGCCTGAGGAGTGACCACACACACACACACACACACACACACTGATCACCAAATAGCAATACCTTAGTCAACATACACACACACACTCAAACACACACACACTCAAACACACACACACTCAGAGTAAAGTTAGAAGTTTTACCTCCATCCTGCTGCTCGTTTCTTTGCCGCTTCGAATTATGTCAAGTATGTGTGTGTGTGAGAGAGAGAGGGGCGAGCAAGGAGCCTGCAGCTTAAATATAGCAGTAGAGTAACACACACACACACACACACACAGTGGGTCGTGTTCAGTCACATGTCGATCTTTTTTCGTTTCCTGTTTCTCTCTGAAACCGTTCAAACGTCGTTTGGTTTCCACGGCAACACGTTCATTTATTTTGGTTAAAGTTAAACTTTTATTCTTTTATATATTTGTTCAACTCTAATGATCAAAGAGAGAGTTTGAGAACTACTGCTCATGACAACAAGGTTTCTGGGGCTGAGTGTAGGGGGCGCTATCACATCCACTGGTCATGACTCCAGGATCAAAATGTGTGACGCCCCCTGGCTCTCATTTCAGGCAGGAAGTTGCGTCACAGCAGTGATGAAAATGTGTTGTTTCATTTCTTAATCTGTGTTTTTGTTTTTACTTCTTCGTCAGTTGAAGCTTCAGCTCAAACGTCAAGAACCTCCAGTTATTTGATCATATATGTATAAATATATTATCATCATCGTCATCATCTTCATCATCTTCATCAAAAACTTTTTAAGTTTTCCCTTTTTTGGCCTTTCCTCAAATGAAGCTCAGTGGCTCCACCTGCTGACTAAAAATGAAAGCGCAATCGTTCTGTACTGTTTTTAAACAGTATTTTTGTACCACGTGGTGCGTTCACGGACTGCCGGTGTTTCCAACGCTCTCCTAATGAGTCTTAGTTTCCTTTCTCCTGTAGGTGTCACTGTTTTGTTCCAGGGAGTCTGGGTGATGGAGCCGCCTGCCTCTAAACCAACGCCCTCAGACAGTTTTCCCGCCATAAATTTGCCTTTATTTGTTGAAGGACAAAAATAGACATTTGAAATTCAACAACTTCCTGTGAAATGTGTGCAGGTGTAAAAGAACCCCCCCCCCACTCCCCCCGCCCTCCGACAGTCAGGTCTAAAAATCCACTCTGATAAAAACATGTAAAACAAACCTTTAAAGATAACCAAACATTTCCCATCATGCACCTGACCCACAGCTTCCTGTGTGAACGACCAGTGAAGGCGTGTCGTTGTAAACCAGCTTTGAAACAAATGCAGTAAAAACAGAAGCAGTTTCCAAACACGGAAATATTTTTTAAATTTTACTTAAAAATAATCTTTTTTTTTTCTTGGGATTCTGATAAAGAAGGCACTTGAGGAGACATTTATATATGTATGCACACAGTTATACATATATATTAATTCTGCTAAGAATACTTTAAATATTTTAAAACTAAAGGAAGTAAAAACTTTTCTTCTTTTTTCTAACCCTCCACAGAACAAAATCTGTTTTTTTTTTTTTGTCCCAAATAAAAACTAAACCAAAGCGTTGGTGACTGTGGTGAACCTGCGTAAAGATACATTTCATAGATTTGAAGCCTTTTGGTCTTTGATATGTTCGTCATCTGAGGTTAGCGTGAAAAATGTCCCTGAAACGTTTTCAGCCGCTGCCGAGTTCTCGACGCCCTGAATGTGATCACCTTGTTGTGCCGTGAGCCACGGTTTGAGCAGCAGGTTCTCCATGTTCCGTTCACTGATGTTCCTTTTTCTTCTTAAAGATCTTTTTTAACACGTGTCTCCTGCGGGTGGCGCTCGTCTCACCGTCCTCCTCCGTAGGACTGGTCCCGGACGCCAGTCCACGACTGGACGAGCTGGAGGAGACGGAGGACAAAGAGCCCGCGGTGGTTCCACAGAGAGAGTGGGTGGAGCTGGAGGAGCCCAGGGGGGGGGCACAGGCGGGGCTGGACCTCAGCTCCCCCAGGCTGGAACTCTTCTCCAGGTTCCCAGCTCCCACTGTGTACCTCAGCCTCTGACCCTGGAGGGGGTGGAGCCTGGACGAGGGGGGGCACGGGCCGCCTAATTCGCCAGGAGACGCAGCGAGGGAGGGGTCGGAGTCCGAGCCGTGGACGGTGTCCCTGACGGAGACAGCAGTGAACTGGTGTGAATGAACGTTAATGGATAACCATCTACACCTTAGCTTCAACATGCTATCTGTTAGCCGCTACTTCACTCAGTCATGCTAGCAGGCTAATACTTCACTGCACAAAGAGCATCAGGGTTCGCCCTCTGATGATGTCACATGACAGGAAACAGATGTGGAAACTAGATGGATGGAAAAACAGGAAGTGACACGAAAGCTAATGAGAGGAAATGACAATTAGAGACGACGTCAAGGTGAGAAAAACGTGATGATGCTATTTGATTTATTACTTTTTCCACAAAACTAATTTTTACTTTGATGCTAACTTTTCAGTGTTTTCTGATCATTTCTTCATCTTTTTTTGGCTTTTCCAGACGTATTTTTTGGTAAAAATGTTTTTCCAAATTACTTTCAATCAAAAATCAGACGTTTAGTAACGAATGAGCAGGAAGTGTTTGAAGTTAAATTTGTTTTTTTTAGAAAAAAAAATACCCAAAACTCCCTGAGCGACAGCGTTGTTTTCTCCGGCTTACAGCTCCCTCTGCAGGTGAGAAGCTGGATGACGCCTCCATAGAGTGGAAGCAGGACGATCGCAGCAGCAGAGCGGAAACGTGAGCCGTGCCTTCGGTGTACGAAGAAAAAAGAGGAGGTGAAGAGGAGGTCGCAGGAGGAGGAGGAGGAGGAGGAGTGAAGGGGAAGGAGGGGCCTATGGATGGGTGAGACAGTGAGGGGGAGACGGTGGGCGGAGCCAGCACAGGGAGAAACTCCAGCTGACCAATAGAGCGACTACGACATTGTCTGCCACTAGGGGGGCGCGCAGTCGTCAAGAGGCCACGCCCATTCTCCTGAGGTAAGCCCGGTCCTTCAACCAACCTCTGAGAGCTGAAGGTCGGAGCGGGGTCTCCTGTCCTCTGTCGCAGGGGCATCAAACTTTGAACTGTGGTTGAGAGGGAGGGGG